CAAAAATTTTGTATTTTTTCCCAGGAGGAGGGTACCAACTGATAAGCAGCTTCGCTCATAAAAGCACATATGTGGTTTATGGCATACAGATTGTGTGATCAGCTTTATTGAATTGAAGCAGACAGATGACATTGATAGAGCTGGAATTCCTGTCCATCTGAAGAAGTCTAACAACTAGAGCATTCTAGAGCCTCCAGTCAGTTTCCCAGCTACCTTGCCACAGTTCTGAAACTGATCTCTTCAAAATCACCATTGTTTTCTTATGGCAGCTGACTTAGTTTTTTTTTCCATTCTTACATTTCTGGACCTGATTGTGGCCTTCAATAAAAGTTCTCACTCCATCCTTCTCAATAGACTTCAATCAGATTCAGAGACATATCAAACTCTAGTTCCTCCATTTTCTTCAACAATATTCAACTAACTCTACTGTTATTATACTTCCTAAGCCCAAAAAAAAGCAAGAACCTTTGAGATAAGAGAAGAACCTTTCCACTTAATTCCTAAACATTCCCTTAGTGATGCAGTCTTGCTGACAATAAATTCTGTGCACTAAGCTTAAACCTTCATTGACAGAACTTTGCAATCAGCCATTCTGTGATAAATTAGAACATGTAATAGACCACAACTTCTCAGCGGGGGCAACAGTTTTTAGACCTCTTGGAAATAATCTGTATTTGAGTCTGTTAGTTCTGGATTGCATGTTTCTGAAGCCATCCCCATTGCAGCATTACACTAGGCCATTTTTAGATTGATTTACACTTACCAATAGCTAACTGGAGACAATGACCAAAGCATTGAAACCATCCCATTCATTCAGATAAATGCATATCCATCCATCTTCTAACACGCTTAATCCCAGCTGGGGTCCCCGAGGGGTGCTGGTGCCTATCTCCAGCTGTCAATGGGTGAGAGGCGGGATACACACTGGACAGGTTGCCAGTCCATCGCAGGGCAACACAAAGACAAACAACCACTCACGTATACACACTCACAGCTAAGGAGAATTTAGAGAAGTCATTTAACCTCTTAAAACCCTTAAGTGGGGCTAATAACTCAGAATTCATAAAATTCCACCAGTAAAATTTTTACCAGCAGGTGGAGCCATTGCGCGCAGCTTCAAGCTGATACCAAAAGTTCCAAAGCCCCACAGCTCTGGAACTGTTATAGCTAGAGGTCTGACATTTTCTGCATTTGTGGCTGACATGATGTAGAACACATATAATGCAATTAAACCTGCTTTTTCTCAAGAATGTCTTTATTACTGCTGTTCAAAAAAGACCCATAATTACCGAGAATATATATATATATATATATATATATATATATATATATATATATATATATATATATATATATATATATAGCAAACACAGAATAATACTAATTACTGCATAATTTAGCATAATGCTACAAACCTCCTTTCTACTTTGCCCCTGCATACGTTATATAAGCATGGAAATTCTACTTGACTGCCACGCAGTATTAGGTATTAGAAGCGCTGTATCTTAACTTTGTACGCAGGATCCTATATATATGTAATGCACAATGGCAACTGTGATTTGTTTGTGGCACTGAGAAGTTTTCTCATATGGGCTGCATCGTGTTAATGACACCGTTATCTTTGGCTGACTGTAGTTTTTATTTTCACAATTTCCTACCGCTGTTTCACATCTTGGTTTACCTTGCATTATTGGATCCTTATCCATTCTTTTTTTGTGGTTCTAGTTGTTAGAAGAGGTTTGTTGTGTAGAAGGGTGTAGGTTTGATTTCCACTTTGGTAGGGACACTATTGGTGCTAAGATTCATTAATGTAATTTTACCTATGCAAAAATACGCATGGTCTTTTATGCTTGATGTGAGCATCAGGGTGCATTTCGTTTAAAGAGAAAAGCAGCATTTCTTGCTACATTTATACTAATTTTATAAGCACTACTCACACTAGATGCTGTTTATCAATGTTTAAAACATCTGATGAATGAGGAATTAGGACTTTTTTCCACTTTGAAAAGGTTTGCATTTAAACTTACCATTGACTAAGACAGTAGGTAAATATGTGCCAATTTAACCAAATATAGTCTAAATATTACCGTTTTATGTGGATTTATCCTGTATTTTCTTTTGCAGATATATAATTGTGCAGAGGTAAACAGGTGAAACACACTCTTATTTTTTAAATGCTCTCTCTATCATGAAACAACGCAAAATAACACATTTAAGGGACGCAAATACATTTATTGTATTTACATTTAGTGGCATCATCCAAAAAAACAAAATACTAAGAATGGGGCTAAATTTATTCCAATATAAAATCACTTTTAACAATTATTGAAAGAAAAAAATATAACACCATCTTGTCTGTAATGTAATAATATTCAAAATAAACAGCTGGATTCAAGCATTTTTACCAAAAACTAATGTTTGTACTAATTAACTTATGGACCCTGTGGAAATCTATGTAAAATAAAATCAATGTAAATAGTGTTCCTCTGTTTGTTATTGGCTTTATCCTATTTTTAAAAGTTCAAATAGGCAAAGAAATAACAACATTATGTGGAACCATAATTATTGCTTTCTAAATAAAAAATAGCAGATGTTTAGGCGCCATCCCGTGTTTTTATACTCTATAAAAGAAATAACACCTGCTATTTATAGCTGAACTGCCTCAAAGGGTCGTCATAAAAGGAAAACAGTAATTGCAAGGAATTATTGTTAAAAGGGAAACCTTCACATTTTCTTTTGCAGTCGGCTGTGGCTAAGAATCAGCAATCAACAGCTTTCACCTGTTTTAGTGTAGATAGAATTATTTTTTTTTAAAAATTAGGACTAGTTCTGTAGCCTAATATCAATTGAAGTATCTAGTGTGAATAAAACTAATTTCGTGCTCCAAGCACGCACACACACAAGGACTAGAAAACAGCCAATCAGGAAAAGAGAAGGCGGAACTTGAGGCAGAACAACCAATGAGAACAGCACAGTTACTGACTTTAAGGGACAGGAAAGACTGGGCAGTAAGACGGAGCGGCAGCAGCAGCTACTGAGCTGCGAGAGAAATATAATTGGCTGTGATCACACACAGTGATCCACCACGCTGAATTGTAAATTATAAACATGTTATATAACAATGTTAATCAAATCAAATTATTGGTAGGGACAAATAGGTCAGTCCAAAATTTTGGTAGGGACATATCCCTATGGTCTCTATGCAAACCTACGCCCATGGTTGTGTAGCTGGTTCGTGAGTGAACAGTCTTGTATCATAGTTAGCAAATGATTGTTGTATTCTCCATGACAGATTTCCTAAATCCAAAATGTAACCAAATCACAGACATACCCTGCTTCTCCTATGTCTCCATCTGTCTGCCTTAAAGAGTCAACTAACTTAAAGCATGTCCCAAACCTGCATGTGACTCAAAAGCTGTGAAGCAGCATCATGTTGCAAAGCCACATGGCAGAACTTCTTTGTGATTAAAAAAAAAACCTTGCTTGCCACTTATATAAGCTGTGGTTAGGCTATGTGACAACACTAATAAGTTAATTGTAGTCTACTTTAAGAAAAATTTGCTTGGATACGAGATAAAATGGTGTTAGAAATGATAGAATTGAATTAGCCATATATAAAAGTTTCTATTGTCTAGCCTTACATCAACTATAATCTCAGTGATCTACTCCTAGCTCATACTCACCTCAGCCTTATTCAATCAGTTATTATTAGGGGTTCCATGCTGGCTTTGAAAATTAATTGTAGCAGATTTTTTCATATAACCCTTTGCAGAAATCTTCATGGCCATGCCCATCCTTCATCCCTCATGCCTTCATCTCTCCTTCGCCTCATCCCTCTTTGCTTCATTTCATCCCAACAATAAATATATAAAATCGTAAGTGTTTTGCCGTTGCCTTTGCTAGTGGAACAACAATAGCTCTGTGAATGAAGGTATGTAAGTACTTACCATGTTACTGAACCATTTTACTAAAAGAATTTGATTGTTTAGGTAAATTTCGTTTTGATAAATGTCTTAGCAATCAGTCTTGCATAAATTATTATACTTTGATTTAATTCTTGAAATACTTTTTAAATATATTCTGATAGCAATCCAAAATGTGTATTTATTGAATTTGACATACAAATAACTGAGATTCAACAGTGTTTTTGCACACTAGCATAACACTAACATCACTATTAAAGATTTTTGCAATGTTGAAACCCATTTTTTTGAGTTGTCCAGATGTGAGACTCAGCTTATTAAGTCGACTTGTGCTCAGTCATCCAGTACGTAGTCATAAAAAAAAATTAAAAGCAATCCACTGTACTTGGTTTCCGAGTTTTAAGACGTTTTGCTTCCCATCCAGGAAGCTTTTTCAATTTAAAATATTAGTTGTTTTGAGAGGGGCGTGAAGGAAGCCATCTATTTTAAAAAAAGGAAACTTTAAACAGAGGGGGGGCGGGGGCGGGGGGTGTTCAGATTTCAGCTTTCAAAAACCTACAATGTTGCTATTGAGTTTATCCCTTACCATTGTCTTTGCAGTCCCGCCCCCTGCACAGGAGAGTGGATGACCTCGTCTATTCAGCCAGTCCGAAAATCCCCTTTAACAACCGACTTTTAGACACTCAGATGGCTATGGGGCATTGCAGGCTTACAAAAGAAGCCAAACGACCCCCATTCCAAAGGGGGGGACGCCTTCGTCTGTTCCAATTTGCATGATTTCAAAACAAAAACAAGGCTTTGTTGGGCTACTGTATAAAACCTAGAACTCAACGCTATTTCTGACATTTTAAATTGAAATAACTTCCTGGATGGAAGAGAAACGTCTTCAAGCTCAGACACCAAGTCCAGTGTTTTTTTTTTTTTTTTGGAATAAGTCGACTTGTTGAGAAGTCAAATGTTTGGTAAATGCCCGTTTACAAGGACAATAATGCTAAAATAAACCTTTTAGAAAAGAATATAAGATGTAAGTACCTACCATGATTGTATAAAATCTAACTGATTTTTTTCTTTTTTCATAGAAATTCCAACCTGGGCCAAAGTCCTCCTGGTTTTACTGGTTATCCTGGTTCTTACTGTTTCTTGCTGCCTTTTATATTATTTTATGTCAAGTAAGTCATTTGATTTAATTTACAACAATTCAGTGCTAATGTATAATATACTAAGATTTTGTAAATGTTACTTAGGAAGATTGTGAACATTTCAGATTGTGAACCTCTACTGTATATTAGGGCTGCAACAACGAATCGATAAAATCGATAAAAATCGACTTTTAAAAGCGTTGGCAACGAATTTCATCATCGATTAGTTGTGTCGCGCGATTAATGCGTCATCCGCGACCGCCGTCATCACATCCACTTGACTGAAACAGGGGAAGAAAAAAAAATATGGCAAAGCGAGCCAGCGCCGCAGGTGCAGTGTTGCCAACTCAGCGACTTTCAGACCCCTCCAGCGACTATTTTTCAAAAAAGCGACTAGCGACAAATCTGGCGACTTTTTACGGTGTCACTGGCGGCTTTTGGAGACTCTTACGTGAAAGCATGTATCGTTCCTACTCTGCCGTGGGGAGCCTCCCCCATCCCAACCCCGTTCTCCCGCAGGAGTCTCTCTCAGCGCTGCAGTCAGAGTCGCAGGACGTTTACCCTCTGCGTCCAGACTGCAAATGAAGCGCGCATGCGCTGGGATTGATGGCGCAAACTGATCACAATAATTAAAATAGCCGGCGCTTCGTAAAGCGAAAAAAGTCGTAACATGCAACTTTTGTCAAAACAAATGAACATGGCACGGAAGCACCATGTTTGTTTGGTTTTAAAGTGGGGAAACGTAACGTTAGTTTCTCAGGTAGCTCATCTGATGCTTTCCTTACCGTGTTAGTAGGTTACAGACAGTGATAAGGTTGGCTACTTATTTTACTTTTAATTTCATTTGAATTAGCTTAAGCAGCGTTTACATTTACTTTATAAATAAATTAACTTGCAAATTATGAGGGCACGATAGTCTATTTAATGCATCTAGTCTCCAGGGAAGTATTTTCACATTGATATCATGATAAATTAGAAATCAGGATTAGAGTTCTTATAACAAGTTTATGTTCCAGTAGGTGAATCAAAATGGAAAAACTCAGCAGTAAGACTTTCATTGTCCTAACTGTGCACAGCGCTGTCTAGAAAGGGCAACACATTGTTGTGGCATCCTCTCTAGTTAACCTGATGTTTCTGTCTACTGAGTTGATGTGATTGGTGAATGCCTCAACTTCCTTGGTTTGGATTTAGACCCAATTATCATCCATATAACTGAACCAGTGAGTTGGTTGTGTTACCTGGTATGTAATGAGTGCTCTGCTCTCCACCTCCTCCATATAGATGTTGGCAACCATGATTCAGAGAGACTTTATTTGCTACCCAGCTGGTGCAGCACTACAATTTTATTTCATGTTTAAATAACATCCCAACCTCAGCCAGTGACGAGTGACTAGATGACTAGACTAGTTATGACTAGACTAGATGTTTAGGAACAATCAGTGTTTCCGTCCATTTCCATTATAGAATGGATAAGGTAATCGTGAGAGAACTGTGGAGATGGCACAGGAGGCAGGTTCTCTAAAAACAGACCACAGGATTAAAACTGACAGAGTGAGGGAGTGATGAGAATACAACCCAGCCATAACCTGAATCCCTGACAGTGTTAGGTGGTTTATAGGTTTGTGGTTTTAACAGAAAGTCCAGAGGATTTTCTGGGTGAAAATGACTTCTAAGCTGTGATGCCTCCATATCCCTCAGCATCACTACCCTCTCCTGAGCTTGAACTGGCTGATGGTTCAACCAAATCCAGACTAGATGTTCTGGAACAATCATCAGTGTTTCCACCCATCTCCATTATAGAATGCTGAGCTAGCTCCAACAGTTTTCCCTCTGAAATCACCATGGAGATGTTTTTTTTTAGTGTTCAATTAGCATAAATTAACAAAACTGCTCTGGGAAATGTATCCTTTCAGTTGCTCTAATTTTTTTTTTTTATGAGTAAATGCTTTTTCAGCATCCATAACAATGTGTCTGTCTCTATGCCTTATATTTTTATATAATCCTTTGGTTAGTCTAAAAGGAACATTTTAATAAAGTTTTTGCTAATAGAAATACATTTTGTGACCTTTATCTTTCTTAGAATAAATTGGACATTAGGTAATATGCTTTAAAGGGAGTTATGTTCACAATAAATGCCATACAAATAAAATGAAATTAACAGAGTTCTTAGATGCAAAATGTAATTTTTGAGATATCTAAAGTAAATTATTAAAAAGCATGAAACTTTTCCTAAAAAATGTGTGAGGTCTAAACTGGATTGTTTGTCTAAGGTCTAACCCAATTTTTTTCTTTGTTTTCCATAGGAATTTCACCTAGGGTCAAAATACTCCTGGTTTTCCTGGTTTTCCTTGTTGTTCTTTCAGTTTCTGGTGGCCTTTTATATCATTTCCTACTGAAACTTAAGTCAGGTAAGTCTTTTTTCCTGTTGTTTCTTTTTTTTCAAACTGGAAAATATTTTGTTTGTTTAAAAATGGTGTGAATTGCAGTTAGTGGGTGATGACTCCCACAGACAGTTTGTATTCATGAGACCCCAGCAGAGCCAGCTCCTGTGTGATTTTTAGTCTCAAGGGAAGACATCCAGTCTTTCAAAATAAAATATTAGAGGCGCCCAAGTATTATACAGTTTTTGGATCGAACCTCTAACACAGAATTTGATCTTCTCTAACTTAAGGAACAGGTACAGATCTTTCACCCAAAGAGAAGCCTTGGGTGGGTTTTCTGATTTCCATGCCAATTGTATTCTTCTTCGGACGAAGAGAGCTGGAAAAAGCCAGTACATTTTTATAAATCCTGTGTTAGTGATATATCCTCTCCTGGGATTCGAAATATTTGGATGCCGGTTTGGATGCCTACTTCAAAAGATTCAGATAGGATCTGAAAAATTGTGGACCAGAAGTTGCACAGTTTGTTACAGGACCAGAACACGTGAGTTAAATTTGCCTTAGCTTTTTGGTGTTGGAATATATTGCCACAACGAAGCTAAATCAGTTTGATGAACCACATCAAACATCAAACAGTCAGCTTACACGTGAACCAATCAGCTGATAAGAAGGCTGGAATCCCAGCAGGAAATACCCCTACGTCATTCAGGGTTTAAATCTAGAGCGCAAGACCAAATCAATCTCTTTCCCCTGGGTTTCATCGCCTGCGAGAAGAGGCCCGTTTCACCTGAAATTCTAATTTTCTTGCGTCAAAAGTCACGGATCACAGTGACCCATCGTGCATAGCGCCTGCTGAACTGGGTGAGACGGGAAATCTGGAGCAGAACGCTGTGTGGATTTTCCCCCCTTTGTGAGGACCTCGATACCAATTACGCCCTATCTGGAGGGGGACACTCCTGCGTTCGACACATACATTACCCTGCCCCTCCAGTTTGCTGAATGAAGTTCTGCTGGTGTTGTTAATGCAATTTTTAACCAATTATCATTTAAGTTGAATGTATAATATGTTGTTTTAACTGGGCTGTTGTTATTATCATATCTGCTGCTATTCCAAATGGACATTATTGAATGTATTAACATCTGGCCTATCTTGGACAATATCAGAAGCCAGTTAAACGGACTCTTAGGGTTTTATTCCTTTTCTCTCAAACTAGTCACTTAGTCTACCTCGTATTTATTTTCCAATAGCATGCAGTGTTTTGCATAGACGTTAGATTTCTGTAATCCTTAACTATTAGAATAAAGACATTGTTTAACTTGCAGTTGCTTGTAATCCATATAGCGGACGATTTATCACTCAGGCCAGATCCACCATCTTTTGGTAATAGTCTGAATAAACAGAGATAAATTGTTATTTGATTGATAATTAATAGCTCTGCTGATAACCTAGCCTAGGTCACAATATTGGTGTGGATACCTGGATTTTAACAGCCGGTCCATAAACCATTTAGAGGTGAAAAGCATAAACCCTGGTAAGTAAGCAAATTAGAGCTACAATAATTGATTTTGAATAAGATAAACAGTTAACTATAACTCCAGTTCTAGTTAATAATTCATTCATTATCTGCAGGATATCATTTTGCACAACAATGGCAACAAGCACAGGTTTTATTGAAGATAGAATGAATCCTTGAGAGTTTGGCTCTACTGTAATAAATCCTTTGAAGTGAATTAGCCCAAGTTGAGTTAATGATGTTAATGCATTTACTCTATGTGATTCCAAATTCTCATCAGAGATGTGAATTCCAAGTGCTCGGATCTCATTGAGCTTTTCTTACCTATTTTCTTTTCCAACTTGCTTTGGTTTTTAAGTAAATGTCAATGTTTTTGTGTAAAGCCCCTTTTACATGAAGATACTGAGTTTACAAAGTATAAAACATATTGTTTCTTATTGGATTTTAAAAATGTAGCAGAGTAGTAGAGGATTCATTTAAAAGATCAAAACTACATTACATGTGTCATGATCCATGATACATGTGTCATGAGCACTGGTGGCTGACTTTATTGCTAGTTCTATTCATCTGTTTAACTCTGCCCGGTTGCTCATTACCGCTTATCTTATCCACCTGTTTTCCAGCCAACAGCGGCAGATTATTTGAGCTTAGTGTGAGAAGTACTGTATCTTGCGTACCTGTATTGTTCTTTTACCACCTGATCATGACCTGTTTTGCCTCTGGATTCCTGAGTTTTTGATCTGCCCCTGTTTTAATCTGTTTTGACATGTCACCTATTTGTACTCTGATTGTTAACGACCCTGGATCTGTAACCTGACCCTGGCTTGAATTATACGCTTGGTACCTCAGCATCTCCTTGATCTTCTGGCCTGGCCCTCGGCTTCTTTAGCTGCTCTGGATTCTGTCTCTGGTGGTCTGCGGGCTGGAGCCCTCTGGGCTGATCCAGAGATGTTGTAGAGAACTCATCGGACTGGTGACCACTCCTTTCTCTGGACAGGAACAGCCCTTATTGTCAGGAGCTCAGAGGTTTGGACCCAGAATTCAAACGAGACAGACAGGGAAACTTTAAAGGAGTTTATTGAATAAGCTGTGTGCGGCTGCTCATCAGCTGGTGCGGGTTCTCTGGATACGCTGCAGGGATATGGACTCAGATAAATATTTCTGAAGCTCAATCGGGGAATTATAATGAGCTTAAAGCCAACCTCCTGGCAAAGTTCAGTCAGCATGTTGGGTAATACTTTGTTCCAGCCAAGAAATGTCAATATCGACAAGAAAGAAATTGATTAAAAACACAGTTAATACATTTAAAACTAAAGATGAACTAAATAAAGTAATGTAAAGCATTCCATAATATTTTACTTGAACCAGAACTACATAAATCAATCGTATCTTATCAAATGTAATTTAAAAACAGCAGCAGCACATAGTGAATGAGGCTGTTCATGAATTAAATGCAGGGGGACCTATATTAATGCAACAGTTTCAAAGAAAAAAAGATAGATATTACATTTCCGTCTCAATGTTTTATTACACTGGGGTTATTGAAAGCTCTGCGTATGTGTAACTTATTTTCAGTAAGAGAAACAGAGGAGACCCGCTTCTCTCTCTTTGCCTGCAGACATTGGCTGCAGAGCTGCATTTGACTTCCTGTCAGAGCTTTGGGACAGGAAGGGACTTGTTCCCACACTCGTCGCTGAAGAAGGCTATTAAACTCCGAGCTGCAGGGGTCTGAAAAGTCACTAAATAATCTGACAAAGTCACTAAGTTGGCAACAGAGCATTAAGCTTTTATATTTTTCTCTCTTCTTTCTATCATCTGTTTTTTGTCTGCTCTTCATACTGAAACTTTGAATGTGCTGTAGAAGCTTTACTACGTTGTCCTCCTCAAGAACCACATTTCTAAAGTGAAATATGTCTCGAATAGACCAATGAGCAAGGTGTGCAGACAGTGCTAATGGGAGAGAAAGTGTTGCAGAATCACATTTAGATTAGCTAATCATTTCAGATTATGTTTGCAAAAACTACAGTAAAATAGCAAAGACAGCGATACCCGCCACAGCTGATATTAACCTGTGTTTGGTTGTGGGTGTCATTACAGTTTACATATACTACAGTTAACATGTATTCGGCTTATCTTTAACTCCTTGACAGGATGCAATAATTTCTGAAAGGAATTCTTTACTTTTGTTTTCACATCTTTTTTGTCCATAGGTGCTTTCTCTTAACACCACTGAAGAGAATTCTAGCCAGTAACAGCCTTGGCTCGTATTCTAATATCAAGCTTTTTTGGCCCCACCCAATGACCAAGCAATAAAATACAGTGTAACACTTAACAATGTTTATTTCCATTTAGCAAGAGGAAAATTAAGCCACCAGCTCTGATGTAGAATTGGAAATGGGTGTATACTGTATTTCACTTGGTCATATTTGGCCACAAAAGGTTTATTACTTATAGTGGATTCTGGCAATTTGTGTTTTTCTTTAATGTACATTGTCTTTGTAATGAATGTGCAGAAACGTTCTGCGGAAAGACACCACTCTAAGACCAGAGATAGATACATTAACAAAATAGAAGTGGGTTGTAAACCATCTAGAACTTTAAAACCACTTAGACTGAGGAAACCCTGGATTGGGTCAAGCTCCTGAATTGGCATATAAATATTTTTGATGGCTCCATTGTTATCGCTGCACAGGCCTACAGGAATCCCACCTAGTCTGGAAAAATAGTTTACTGCTGTATAAGAGGACNTTTTTTAAAGGGTTGTATATGTTGTATGTGTAAGCAGGAAGGATCTTCTATGCCTGTGTTGCTCCTCTAAGGTTCAACTAAGAGGGTACATGTTGTTTAATCAATAATATGTTCAATTCAGTTTATTTACATAGCGCAAATTCTCAACACATCATCTCAAGGCACTATAAAGTTCAACCAGATCATCCAGTCAGATTTATTCAAAATTTTCTAAGGAAAACCAGCTGATTGCGTCGACTCACCGACTCAAAGGCAATCCCTTATATCGAATGTAGCTTGCAAACCATAAAGTACATTAAAACATATTTATGCAGAATGTTAAATGATTGAGAATTTATAATAGGTCTGTGCTGGGTATGCATGCCTAAACTCTTGACTTTGCTTTGTTTTTACATAGAAATTCCAAAGTTGGCCATCAGTACTTCCATTCTCCTGGTTTATCTTGCTATGTCTGGAGGCTTTCTATATGATGCCTTTCAACGGTATAAGCTAGGTAAGTTCCTTTTTCCACTTTATCAATATAGATGAATGAGATAATTTCAGATATTGAACAATGGCTAAATATGAAAATTTGAAGGAAGCTCATGCGTTACCATGGTTTCCTAGTCCTCATCTTAAAAGTTTTGGTTGAAATTTATAACATGCAGAATTTTCTGTTATCTGAAGGCAAGTAACCTAAAACACATTAAACAGTATAGCTCTTGTTGTTTAATAAGAATATGAAAAATTCCCTCCCTTCTTTAGCCATTCCATCCATGATCCTAACTTCTGCATCATTGCCAAAAACTTCCTCTGCCATGTTTACATACTGTTAGTCTTGGATATAATCTTTGAAAGAGTTTCTAAAAAAAACAAGACAGAAATGTCAGCTTAAGAATTCTATGTATTATTTTAGGATTTATATTGAT